GCTGAGACACTCAGTACATGATTGTACCTGTAAGAGCCGTGTAGACTCTACACGTAGTGCTAGTGATGCACGCGCAGGTGCCGCACCATGGTATACCAGTGATGCTGAAAAAGAGGGCGCGTTGGATGTGATAGTACACTTACCTGCATGAGCTGTGACTACACAGCTAAAATAAATGGGCATGCCAAGGCTAAAAAAAGTTCATTTCAAGATCGAGTTGATTCCGCCGACGGTAATCAACCGACCTCGCAACGATCGTGTATTCTTACTAGGCTTCGTTGGTGGTGAGGTAGAAATCATCCAGAGCTAGCAGACGACAAGCCAAGCAGCTCTTGTCCTGTGGAGGAAGTCAAAGCGTTTGAGATGAGGCGCGACCAACTTTCAACCTTCCTTGAAATATTTCGGAACGATATTTTTGCGTCCATTGACATCAGCGACGACGAGGACTTTATCTCTGCATGAAAACTCTCAGTGCAACTGTCCTGGAACGTTACTCTGGTCTTCAGACTATCATTCTGTGTAATAAGTTTTGAATGGCTTAGCTTGTGGAGTTGACAGTAACAAATGACAAGTCACTAGTCAAACTGCGACAATTTCGATGACGCGGAGGAAGTAATTCCAAAGTATGTACTGGTTCTAGTAGTGTTGTTAGGGTGTATGAATTTGCTGTTGCCAACCATCTTGTTCAGAATAGTGATTGTCGTTCTAGTTATGCTGATGATTGCTTTTCTGTTTGGTCTCGTTCACGTAGTCAAAGGTATTTGCGTGTATTGGAGTCTATCTACATTTTTACCACCAAGCCGATTTTGTGTAGGCAGAAAAAGAATTTGCTTACTTTGAAATTGTTTTTGAATTTAGATCTGTAGTTCTCGTTTGTGGTTGCATGTTAACTTTCTAGTGGTGAATTTATCGCATCTGTTGTCGCCTGATATCGTTGAATGGTGTAATGTTTCTTTCAGCTCTAAGTTAGGGTCTAAATTATTACTTGCATTGTGCGTATATATATTGAGTTAAGAGCTATTGTTGATTTGCCAGTAATCCTCTGATGAGATTGCGACGAAAACGTTTAGGAACAAGCTTCTTTATTTACAAGAAAACAAGTTTTGCTTATGGTGTTTGTACTGAGTGCGCAGCTTACTCTATTTATTGCGTTGATTACATTTTTATCTCCACGGAAGCTTAATAAGTAAAACAATAAAAATTTATGATTTTAAATAGTTTTACTCGGTTAAGGAGCCAATTTAATAATTGTGGTAACAGAGGAGAGGACAACATGTTACGAGTTATGACAAACAGTCCACCAACGTGACCAGATCATATGCAGGCAGCGAGTGCGACAAAATGGCACAAAACTTACAAGGAGTACGGAGACATTCAGCAACCTGACACCTAGCTCGAACACTTCTCCAAGGCGCAAGCCAACAAATTTCGAACTTGAAAGGCTCAGGTTCGGACATGTCCAAGAGTGTAGGAAAGCATATTTTTGTTGGATAGAATGACTCCTCCATTCTTCTATACAGTCATACTACCGTATTTCCCCAAAATAGTAGGCTGGGCTACCATTTTTTCAAACTCTTGTCCTAACCCGGACTTATAATTGAGGACGGTCTTGTATTCGAGGACGGTCTTTTCTTCTTTCAAACCAGTTTGACCCCAGTCTTCTATTTTTCGCCACACAGTTTTACCCCCGTTCTTCCATTTTCTTCTACACAGTTTGAGCACTGTCTTCTATTTCCCCCACAGTTTGAGCACGTTCGTAAGACTCATTTAGTAGGCCCGGTCTTTCAATAGGACACCGTCTTGTATTTTTCAATCACCCCCTGCCCCGGGCTTGTATTCAAGGAAGGCGTTGTATACAAGGATGGTCGTACAGAAGCCTGCCACCTAGCTCGAACACTTCTCCAAGGCGAAAGCCAACCACGTTCCAACTTGGAAGGCTCAGGTTCGGAAAGGTCACAAGGGAAGGAAAGTATATTTTTGTAGGATAGAATGACTCCACACTCATTTATTCTATACAGTCATACTAACTTGTACACCCTTGAGAAATGCCTCAACTTCAAAACCTACGACAGTCAACTTTGCTAATAACCACTGCGGATATAACGACAATTTGCGAATAACGACATAAATTTCATGCCCAGAGCAAAGTCCTATCCAACTGTGACACATAATGAGACTTCAGGTATAAGGCCACACGTTTTTATTTCTATGTTTCTCGTCACCTGAAAATCTAAAAACGTATGCGAGAGGTGGAAAAAAATAAAAAAATGACCGAAAAATAAAAAAAAGTTCATTAGACCTTTGTTCACACTAAAATCTACCAATACACCATGCAAAACAGCATCCATAGTTAGCAACTACTAGTAGTACAGGTATGTGGTAGGAGCTTCTGTCACAATCTGTGCATGTGCAGCTAGATTGCGCACAAAATGCCATCCTTGCATCAAGTGTCGCGCAGGCCAGGCCACATTATGTACATGTTCTTGAGTGTGCTGGTCCTCACATGCACAGTCAGTGCAGCACAGTGTGTTTTCTTTTTTTCTTCCAGACTCCTGAATCGTATGCGCGCGGGTGACCAGAAACATAGAAATGAAAACGTGTGGCCTAACGACACTTCGCGGTGGTGACTGGATTGCCAGCAATATGAGAGGATGTGCATTCTGCGGCGGACCTCACCTAGACAAGAGCTGCACGAAATACGCAACAGTAGCACAGCGGAAAGAACAACTGATTGAACAGGAGCGTTGCTTTGTGTGTTTGCGCACAGGGCACCGGTCAACTCAGTGCAAGGCCACCCACAAGTGTAATGTGTGTTCTCGCATGGGTCACCATCATGTCACGATCTGCCCTGAATCTCAACAGAAATCTGGCAACAGTACCAACCTGGTAGCTGATCAACCTGTGGCTCACAAGGCACCAGCATCTAGCACAACAACGGCTAGTGCAGCATCAACCAGTGTCGTCATAGCTGCTGACACAGCAGCCCCTCAAACGCAGCCCACTGCTGCACTTCAGTCGTCTATCGCAAGTGGTGATGTGTACCTGCAAACAGCGAGAGTTCCGATTGAGAGTGCAGACGGCTCCACAGTCATGGCGACAGGTCTCTTCGATTCTGCCAGTCAGAGCTCTTATCTGACAGAAAAGTTGGCTGACACCATTCCAGCAGATGCGGCACGCTATGAGTGGCTCTCTTTATCTACCTTTGGTCATGCAAGGAAGACGCAACGGAAGGTCCGAGTTGCGGGTCTTGGTCTGCGATTGAAGGATGGCTCATCGAAACAAATCGAAGCCAGTGTGTTGCCACATATCACCAACACTATCTCTCAGCAGGGTATCCCAGCAGCGGATATCATGGCATTCCAAGAACTGGGTACAGACAACTTGGCGGACACTATCAACCTGCAAGAAGTCGACCGTCAGATAGACGTCTTGATCAGTACAGATTTCCACTGGGAGTTTATGATGGGGAGCACCAGAAGACTTCCGTCAGGACTGCAGCTTCTGCCCACCACAGTCGGTTTTGTAGTGACTGGCCGAACACGTCACTCCAAGCCCTCAGCTGCACCGATAAGCAGCACAGCCATGCCAGCTATAGTTTCTTTAAGTGATGCGACTCCCGAGTCGTGCACCATTCCAGATCTGTGCGACTTAGACTGCATTGGCAACCAGGATTCAGCCGATCTGACGAACAACGACCTAGCCATGCAGCAATTCAACTCCACTGTAACGTTTGACGGTCAGAGGTATGAAGTCAGCTGGCCCTGGCAATCCAATGCCCATCTACTGCCAGACAACTTTGGTGTCGCACTTGGTCATTTCCGGTCTCTATCTAAGCGCCTAGCAGGCCGAGCAGGAACTCAAGGTCAAATACGACAACATGATCCAACAGCAGCTACGGCAAGGCATGCTTCTCTACTTCATCCTTTGTTTTGTTTTTCTCTTTCCGCTGGGAGTGTCGTGACATTCAAGTGTACGAGTTAAGTGTGTAGTACTTGGTACGCACTGAGCTCTGTGTCTTTCTCTGGTCTCCATAATTATACTGCATGCATTCACGTTACACGCTTATAAGTTTGACCCTGAGTTCATGTCTACTATCCCGTGTCTCCTCTACTTCTGTTTGCTTCCACGTGGTACACGGCTACGGTGTAGCACTGCACGTGTTCCGTCAGCTTGAACTGTAACATAAATCGTACTCTAGTCCTGCTCACACTTCATTTATGTCACGTACCCGCTCGCGCGGTTCTTCTGCGCTCCGCTGCGCAGTACGGTAGTATTCCACATTTTATTTCTCGTATCCTTTTCTGGCTGGCTGGGGCCTTTTGCTGTTTGTCCTTGGAGAAAAGGACTGGTCTTTGCTGTTAGTCCTTGGAGAAAAGGACTGGTCTTTCCACTGGTAGTTAGAGTTCAGTAGCCGTTTTAGGACGCTCTTGAATTATGGTTTGGAACTAAAACACAACGTAGAAGTAACTATTGCGACTTAAATCTCTGGTGTATCACATTAGGGACCTTTCGCATTTGCTACGAATCGAATGCGAAACGAAAGTTTGATTCGTCTCGTAATCGTTTCGTTGAAAACTGAATTCAGGTTTCGCAAGTCGTGAAGCAAATGTGCATGGCGACTACGAATACGGCCGGTAGCTTGGCGTACGGGTGTGTTTGCGCACACGTGCATGGATCATGGAACCAAGGGAAAAAATGTGTACCTGGCAAAACATGTGTACCTTGCAAAAAATGTGTACCTGACGGATTCGGAGCGTGCCACGAATGAAGAGGCTTCCATTCGTGAAAACGAGCTCTTTGCTCAGCTCTTTGCTTCCAATACGGAGTTCTACCTGGAAAAGTCTTCCACAAGCTGCGTCAGATTCAGGTCATAAGGGGTGGGGGAGGGTACATGAGATCAATTAGCGAAATGCCAAATCCCGAAATCCCATTTGCCACATCTCAAAAGAACAGAACTACGCCAAAAACGCTTTTTACGGTACATGCACAACATGACTTACAGCTTTTGTAATTTGGTTGTGGCGTTGAACAGTCCGGCAGGTAGGTGAACAAGATGATTACCTCTCAAATCTCTGGGAGAACAAAGTATAATTTTGATAGGATGTACATCACTTCCTGGAAGAATTTCGTATTACTTTATTTGGCGTCTCAGAGGAGAAAGACAAACTGTTACGAGTTATGACTAAGGATTATTATTATTTATACAATAGACGCAAAGGCACACAATGAAAACCCTGGAAAATTAATTCCGTTGTGACTCAGAGTTTCATGGATGAACCAATTATCAGACAACGATAATAGAATAGGAGCCAGCGCTGGTATATGTAAGTGGAGAGAGGTGTGATAATACGATAGCGAGAGGAGTAATCGCGTGAATGTATACAGGGACAGGCTATTTCAGAGGCAGATGCAGTAGGCGCAGGTCTAGCTTAAACAAGTATGCGCTTAATCTCGCTCACACACCACACCCAAACACACACACATACTAACACGCACGCACATAGTAACACCCACACACATACACACATACACGCACACACTAACACACACACACACACACATACACCCACCCACATCACCCTAACTTGCACACGGGCGCACGCACACACATATACCCACCCACCCACAACACCCCAACTCGCACACGAACAAACACACGCACAAACGCATATACACACACCTATAGACACATGTCCACACGCATAAACAGGCATCTGTGTTCGTATGACAAATCTAAGCGCACACAAACTCCTGCAATCACGCGTCAAAAACCCGCAGCGGTCATAGCTGTCTATGTTATAGGGGTGGCCAGCAGAAACATTCACGCAATTACTCCTCTCCCTATCGTATTATCACACCTCTCTCCACTTACATATACCAGCGTTGCCTCCTATTCCATTATCATTGTCTGATGATTGGTTCAGCCATGAAACTCTGAGTCACAACAGAATTAATTTGCCAAGGTTTTCATTGTGTGCCTTTGTGTACGCCGCTCTGCCAGAATCAAGCATTGAGCACTCTTGCAGAACCAAAGCATATTGCCAAAAGAGAAAGATTATTTTTTCAAAAGTCGGCACTCAAAGAAAGTCTAAACTCGGATATGGAGCCAGTAATAAAATGTAAAAAAAGAGAAGAAACACATGAGAACGAGTTATGCAGCAACTGCCCACGACGGTAACGAGATGATTAATAGTCAAAAAGTGCTATAATAGGGCACAAAACTGACAGGCTACTGAGACATTCAGCGACCCGATACCTAGCTCTAACACATCTCCAGCGCGCAAACCAACAGCCTTCCAACTTCGAAGGTTCATGGTTACATAGGACCAAAGAGGGGAAGGTGAGGGCAGCGAAAATGTGCGAGACATATTCCGGGCTCAGATTTGTAATGGGTGAGCTTGTCAGGAGTAGGGCACTTCTTGTACTGGATGTGAGAGTCTCGCTTGTGCTTTAACTGAATTCTTAGTGCCGGAGTGAGCCACGAGGGATTACTGGGTGACAGGGAAGATATATCTCGGCGTATGCAGCTGGCCACAGGTGAGTTTCAAAGGCTTTGGCCACTGTGGGTGAGAGGCTCGCAGGTGAGAGAGACCATACGTGTCAAGCTATACAATGCAGTAATCACACCAATACTCCTGTAAAATTGCTCAACATGGTGAGTCCCAAGCAATGTCATCAATCGATTAGAAGTATTCCACAGACGTCACATGGCCAGCAATCGAGGACATCTGGGAGTTGTAATTTTTGTGCTCCTCTGAGGTGTGATTTTTGGCGTGCTGGGCCAAGCACAAGGAAGCCAGCCACCTGTCAAAAAACTGAAGAAAACGGTTGTTGTTTGATCCTTTGGTGTAATCTTTGTAGCTAGTCGAAGCAAGTTGCTGTTTGGAGCAGAAACTGAAATTGACTTTTTTCTGCATGTACTCATGCATGTACTCATGTACTCAGTCATGCAGTCTCACTCGTATTTTAGCTCTTTTTCTGGAATGGATGCTGCTCTGCGCCCCTTGGTGAACATTTCCCGCGCTCGTGGAGCAGCTGGAGAGGACCACTGGTATGTCTGGTTCCTGGTTTGAAAGTGGAGAGTCGACTTTTGTGTCTTGAAACAGGATTAGCTTATTTTGAGTGCTCCTCGTACATTTTTGATCGTGATAGAAATTCTCAGACCAAAGTCAGCGCGATGATGACCGATCAGTTTTCTTGTGGATTTTTTAGTTGTTTCGTCTCGTATCTATGTCAGTATGGTGATGGTGAAGTGGAGAGGGTGGTTTTCTTCCTCTGGGCTTCGTTTGGCCGACTTTGCTTCGTCCTCGTTGAAAAGTGATGCTGAAAAAAAGGTCGATTCGCAAAATTATGTTGATTTTGAATGTAAGTGATGACATGCGATTGCTGGCTATGATTGCAAAACAGTCGTGGGGATCAAGTACCCTCAATTCATCAAAAATATCGAGCTGTATAACCGCACCAACTCCCAGCCCCTAGGGAAACCCATTGTGAGAGCGAGGTGGCGGTTCTTTGGCCATGTCCTGAGACTAGATGACGATGTACCAGCACGCTTTATGATGGCAGCATACTTCGAAAACCGAAGATCTGCAGCCACCTGGCGGGGCCGGCCACGTACCACTCTGCCACTGAGTCTGCACCAGGACCTGCAGCGTAGGGGGGGGGGGGGGTCACTCAAGAAACGTGAGCAACTCGAGAACCTCCATGCCATCGCCCAGTCACGACAAGACTGGAAAGACCTATGCAGCAATGTGATAAAAGCATACATCAAAGCCTAATACTGCTTCCACGTGTGGCAGCTGCATGGCTGTACGGTGTACTATAACATAACTCATTGACTAACATATTTTGTGAAAATATTATCCTGTAAAAGAATAGGAATGTAAACGATATACCTGTGAAAACACAACCTTTAATGCTACTAACACAACCTGTGACTACAATAATCATGAGAACAACCCCAAAACATTTCTTGCAGTTTACTTTCGTAGAGTTTGCAACATTGTGTTCCTCAATACAACTTGCAGCTTTCTTCAAAAATATCCTCAACCTTGGTTCTGCCCTAGATTGTATATACATGCATTCATTGTTTCGTCTCATCATTATGGAGCAGCTTATGCGAAGGCTAGCCAAGCTTGCTTGGCGATGCCAACGCGGAAAAGCCTATAATAATAATAATAATAATAATACGAAGTAGTGGTTGCGACCTCGGCGATGATTTGTAAGAAAAGGGTTTGCTCCCCACACCGGAGCTCGCGCTATTCCGCCGACTTTACTTGACACTTGACTGACTCACGACTGCCATCCAGAGCACACGAGAAGTCCATCGAACCTTCGACTCGGCAAACCTGCAAGAAAGCACCACTCCCTGCTCAAAACACAGTGTTTCGGGGAATTCACCCCTCATCAGTTGAGCTTGAGTAGGCTGAGGAAGATTGTGCCTGAAGAGCACCACTTATATAGTGCTCTCCAGGCTTGACCATCACCAGGGATACAAACTTACAGAGACGCTCCGTTTTCAGCGCGACAATTACCTCGTGAGCACCAGATAGCAGCGGGGAGTCAGTGTCGCTCCTGGACGGTGAGACAGACGTCGAGGACCCTCGGTCATTCGCAACGCTGTCACCTCCAAACCAACTAGTCGCAAGCCCGCGCTGGGCACAACAGTACGAAGTAGTGGTTGCGACCTCGGCGATGATTTGTAAGAAAAGGGTTTGCTCCCCACACCGGAGCTCGCGCTATTCCGCCGACTTTACTTGACACTTGACTGACTCACGACTGCCATCCAGAGCACACGAGAAGTCCATCGAACCTTCGACTCGGCAAACCTGCAAGAAAGCACCACTCCCTGCTCAATACACAGTGTTTCGGGGAATTCACCCCTCATCAGGCACAATCTTCCTCAGCCTACTCAAGCTCAACTGATGAGGGGTGAATTCCCCGAAACACTGTGTATTGAGCAGGGAGTGGTGCTTTCTTGCAGGTTTGCCGAGTCGAAGGTTCGATGGACTTCTCGTGTGCTCTGGATGGCAGTCGTGAGTCAGTCAAGTGTCAAGTAAAGTCGGCGGAATAGCGCGAGCTCCGGTGTGGGGAGCAAACCCTTTTCTTACAAATCATCGCCGAGGTCGCAACCACTACTTCGTACTGTTGTGCCCAGCGCGGGCTTGCGACTAGTTGGTTTGGAGGTGACAGCGTTGCGAATGACCGAGGGTCCTCGACGTCTGTCTCACCGTCCAGGAGCGACACTGACTCACGCTGCTATCTGGTGCTCACGAGGTGTTTGTCGCGCTGAAAACGGAGCGTCTCTGTAAGTTTGTATCCCTGGTGATGGTCGTGCCTGGAGAGCACTATATAAGTGGTGCTGTTCAGGCACAATCTTCCTCAGCCTACTCAAGCTCAACTGATGAGGGGTGAACTCCCCGAAACACTGTGTATTGAGCAGGGAGTGGTGCATTCTTGCAGGTCTGCCGAGTCGAAGGTTCGATGGACTTCTCGTGTGCTCTGGATGGCAGTCGTGAGTCAGTCAAGTGTCAAGTAAAGTCGGCGGAATAGCGCGAGCTCCGGTGTGGGGAGCAAACCCTTTTCTTACAAATCATCGCCGAGGTCGCAACCACTACTTCGTACTGTTGTGCCCAGCGCGGGCTTGCGACTAGTTGGTTTGGAGGTGACAGCGTTGCGAATGACCGAGGGTCCTCGACGTCTGTCTCACCGTCCAGGAGCGACACTGACTCACGCTGCTATCTGGTGCTCACGAGGTGTTTGTCGCGCTGAAAACGGAGCGTCTCTGTAAGTTTGTATCCCTGGTGATGGTCGTGCCTGGAGAGCACTATATAAGTGGTGCTCTTCAGGCACAATCTTCCTCAGCCTACTCAAGCTCAACTGATGAGGGGTGAATTCCCCGAAACACTGTGTATTGAGCAGGGAGTGGTGCTTTCTTGCAGGTTTGCCGAGTCGAAGGTTCGATGGACTTCTCGTGTGCTCTGGATGGCAGTCGTGAGTCAGTCAAGTGTCAAGTAAAGTCGGCGGAATAGCGCGAGCTCCGGTGTGGGGAGCAAACCCTTTTCTTAATAAT